TTGTGAAAAATGTTTTGAGAAATAAGAGGGTAAATTTTGAGGTACAAAAATCATTCTTAGTCAAAACCCTAATTTTGACCATTTTGCCATTTTGAAGACTTGGACATTTTTCTTGTGGAATTGTGATCCAAACTTGATCAAATGATATATATGACTTCAAAATGGTGATATTGGTAAAAAATCTTGAAGTTTGACTGTAAGTTGACCACAATTGACTTTTTACCCAATACAACTGATTTTGGGGTATCTGGCCAATTGACTGAGCAATTTTGAGTTGCAAGACTTGAAACTTGACATGAGAATTCTTGAAGGTCCATAATGATCCATGAAGGTCAATTGAGGCATTTAAAAGTCCAATTATCCTTGTGCAAATTTAAACCCTAATTTGAGGCATCAGTGTTGAGGAGATGACTTGATCTAGTCAATACTTGTACAAGCTTGAGCCATTGAAGATCTTGTGAGAAATATCTTGAGAAAAGAGAGGGCACATTTTAGGGTACAACAAAAGTGAATTTTCCCTCAGTTTATAAGAAAATCTGAGGTAATATGTGGGTTTTATTTCTAAAATGTGGCACGCATGGAATTGTCCATATTCAAAATGTAGCATATCTTTTAGGTTTTCAAGGAGGCGTTTGAGCTTCTCTGATTGTTTCACTTCCTATTCTCTACTATTTAAACATTATTCCTAGTTTCAACGTCACATTTCTAACTCTTTGTGTTTTTAAACCTAGTTTCAAAGTCTTTTCTTTTTATTCAAAAATGGGTTAAAATCTTTTATTCGTTATCAATGAAAAGTTTATTAATTTCGATGATTTGAAAGACAAAGGTTTTGATCTACAGAAAACTATTTCCAAACAAAAGTTGAATGGTTACTTTGACGTTCTTCATGGATCCATATACACTAATCTTGTTAAAGATTTATAGTTAAATACCTCTGTTGTTCCATATGATCATGATGCTCAGTCAATCCAGTCCTATGTTAATGACTCTCATATCACCATTATTCCATCACTTATTGCTCATACAATAAAATATGAAGAGAAAGGTAGTTATGTTGAATATTATAGATCCAACAATGTCTACTCAACCTGCCTTCGCCTAATTTATGCCACTACGATAAGCTCACCAATCCTGCTACTCTACCCTCAATTACTAAAGTTTGGTATCAACTTCTAATGTTAAATCTCCGTCCAAGAGAGAAACAATTGGAAACAATTACTTGGAATGACAAACATCTCTTGTACTTCCTTACACACAACGTCAAAGTTAATATTCATCTTACCATTTTTAACTTCTTAAGGGAAATGATAAGCATCTCTCGGGAGAAAATGACTTTCCTCATACCATATGGAAGAGTTATTTCTGAACTTTTCTCTCAGTTAGAGATAGTTAATAGGGATAATGTTGAAGTTGAGTGGAGTCAGAAGTTTGAATATATGAAATAGTTATATGTTGTCATGTTTTTTTGTACTCCGTAATTGATTATCAATAAAATATTTGCTTTCATATTATTGCCTATTCTTTTATATTGATAACAAATATTTTGAGAATTACTAATTAACAAAGAAAAAAACAGAAAAAAAATTAACTAAGAAAAAAAGAGAATCTGGAAAGACGCAAAGTTAGAAATCATTGAAAAAAACTTTAAATGCAACAACAGGGATTCAAAGCGAGATCATATATAGCTATATTCCCCCGATTTTCCAAAAAACCGAGAGAATAGTTTTATTATTATTTTTATGAATAAAACATGGCGCTCACTTATAGCTATGTTACCTCGGTTTTTGAGAAAACCATGGGAAAAGGTTGTTTATTTTCTTTCTTTTTTCTTAAAAAAATTAAACATGGCGTTCTCAGGATCTATACTCTCTGCTTTTAACATGTTCGAGGTGAAAGCTTCGTCATAAAGAGTGTTATTTATAGTCGTGGACCCAACATGCATAACAACCATCGAAGATCATTTAGAACACCCCTAACAGACACCGAGGGGAACAACACATTGACTGACCTCGAAGTAATAGAATGGCCCACAAGAGTTGGGGTTTGTCGGATTCCCTATCTTAGTTAGCGGATTCTTCCTCATTCTTCATTGAGTCTGCTAATAGTAATTACCAATGGTAAAAGCATTATAGATAACTGAATTGAAGGCAAGGGAAAAATGTATCCGAAACTCACCAAAATTGACCTTTCCCTCCTCCTTGGTGCGAGCATCCATTATAAAGCGGGTATCAATAAGTTGTTTCAAAAGTTTTTGTAAAGCCTCGTCCTGAGGAGTGACACCCCCGACATGACCAAACTCTTTGACAAAAGTGACCAGCCATCTCTTTAAACAAAGTTCCTCCAGAGAGATCGTTTTCCTTGCAAGCATACAATTAATTTCTAATCAGGTAATGGCCTTTGTTCGAGTATTTCGGAAACAGGCCGATACACATGTCCTTCACCCCAGTCCCTAAGGTACACACCTTTCATATGCCTCTCTACAAAGAGGAACAACCAAGAAAGAATCTATTTTTGAAAATGTTCCAAAGTTGCGAACAACCACCACCAGGTTAATCAAACCATGACCTTGCGCCTAGGCCGCATAACTACTTTTTACTTTGAAGAGGTGGAACAATAGGGATAACGAAGTTTTTCCCTTTTGATATCCATACTAATACTAGATGACTTTAATATATGCCTAACTCGTAAGGTTCAACTGCGAGGGGGAAACCATCAAGTGATTCAAATTTTCTATTTCAAATTTATTAAAGGGAAAACGGAAACCCAAGATCAAGAAGTTGCATTCATAGAAAGGATTGACACATTCACCATACTCGCTACAAATCATCTTATCTTTATCATGGTTCAATACACTCCAATCTGAAGATGGACCTACTTCTAGAAAGGCACAATCTAAACTATCCTCTCGAATAAAGATATAAATAGTTGATGAAGAGACAATGTCAACCCAGGAGGCAAAAATATCTTCTTTGGATTTTCTAATCATGATGGTCACTACTTTCTTTAGTGTCAGGAAAGAAAAACATTGTAAAAAATGAAGGTGACAAAGAAGTGAATATAACGCCTCAAGTAAATGTAAAACTGACTGTTCAAAAATCTCGGAATAACTTACTAAAAACAACTAGCATTATAAACACTCTATACCTCCTCAACACGGCACTAGAGTGTTTCGGTTCCCAAAGATCATTATGATAGAATCCACGAAAAGACGTATGAGGCATGAGGAGCATTAAAGGCACAAGTTCCTAAGAAGAATAACATCACCTCTCAACTCTCCACTTAAATAAATATATGGCCAACACAAACGAGGTGAATATGAAAAATCCCGTACTTCCAAACAAAGACAAGGGCTTAAGGGGAAACTGTTCTGGGACGACCAGAAGGGCCATGGACCGCGGACCAAGGAAACAATTATTCACCCAAAGCACTCGCAGTTCAAGGTGGTTACTCTGAGGGTGAGCGTAGGAGATCCAGGCCCATGATACATCTAACAGTTTCCTGCATCTCATGTCTAGAGAGTAGCGATTCGTTATAACTGTTCCGGCATATAAATAGTACATGTACAAGTATAATATTTATACGCACATATTTGTCTTACTTGCCAAAACAACACTAACTTATATAATTTAGTCTTGTTCGGCTAGTTATGTTGGCAATACATGATTTTTTCTGGCTACGAGGAATACATGGCGTGCCATGTACAATTTGCTCATTTCATTTTGTGACATTTTCCATTCCTCTAATCCGTATGGCCCGTTTAAACCAACTCAAAAGTAAAAAAAAAAAATTAACTAATTTTTTTTGAATTTGGGTGTGTCCAATTTTAGTGCTCAGGTCTACTCAAGACGTGGTTGTGTGTCAATAACTATTTTAGTTAATGACGTTACACACAAGAAACATAAGTAAAATTCTAAACTATTCAATTTTACTGATCTTTTACCAATTCTATTCCACTATGACCTTCATGACTAACTCACATTCAATATGTCTTTGCACTTACTTAACCATCCTTCTTTCTTCTATTGAGGGGAACTCAATTGACCCTAAACTCAACTACTTGTCAATTTTGGCTAACAAATTGTTTACTCACCAATAAGATCTCCCACTTCTTACAAGTGAGTTGAACTCACACTTTTGTAAGAGTGTAAGTCAATTTATTATCAACTGAATTAAATTTGTTTCATTAAAAATTAAATCACCGTTAGTTTAAATTAAATTTAAAACTAGAATTTCATTTAACTACTATTTATAAATTTCATTTAAATTAATTTAAATTTAACTTGTAAGATTGATTTAATCATTGGATATAATTTGATTTAAAAGTTAAATTGAAAAAAAAATTTAAAGAAATTTTAATTTTAATATTAATTTGAAATGAAGATTATTTCCAATTATTTTATTTGATTATATAATATTAATCATAGTTATAGTTATAGAGATTTATTTATTTAGCATATCTTTAAATGTGTTTAGGTTGTGGTAGTATATTTTGTTTTTATTTCGGGCAGTTTGAGTTAGCTTTCACATAACCACTTTTTTGAATTTTTTTTTGTTTTTGTAAAATTTTGTAGTGTAATGAAAGTTATCAAGTTGGCAAAAGATAGAGATTGGTCAAATTTGTAGTGACATCAGATGGATTTTATTATTTCTCATATATGTAAGGAAGGAAATAAGTGTGCGGATTTATCTAATATTCTAATCTAAAATGTACATCTATTTTCTTCACTCTTTTTAATTTTCTCTTTATTAGAAATGATTATATAAAAAATAAGTTTGGGTTATTTCTTTTTAGATTTATATATTTTTTAGTGGATTTGGGTCTCGTGTATCAATCATTTTTAGAATATATTATTGCCTTTTATCGGGAAAAAAAAAGTGTTTGCACTCTTCCGTTTGTTTTCCGACTTTGATTCACCAAAATATCAATGACACCTATCTAACCCCAAAACCCCCAAGACAAACATAACCGCTGCGCAAAACCTTCTTCTTCTTCTTCTTCAATGGCGAGTGTTAGCGGAAGAATCCTCTTCTCCCTCTCTTCTTCCATAACCAGACGCCTTCATGGTAAACGCTTCTCATTCTTCACACTCTCAAACCCTACCATCATTTTCCCACGATTCAGACCTCTCTGTTCCATAACCGCTTCACCCGAAGTTCTATTAGACACCGACACTGAAAAACACTCGATTCTTCTCGAGAAGCTGAGAGTTAGACATCTAAAAGGAAGTGCTACAAAACCGGCTTCTGAAATTGTGAAGAAATCTGACGGGAAGGAGGGGAAGAAGAAGGAGGCTGTTGTTGTTGATGTTGGAAGTTTTGGGGAATTGGGGATTAGTGATGAGGTTATGGGGGCTGTTAAAGAAATTGGGATTGAAGTTCCTACTGAGATACAGTGTATTGGTATTCCTGCCGTTTTGGAGGGGAAAAGTGTTGTGTTAGGGTCTCATACTGGTTCTGGAAAAACTCTTGCTTACTTGCTTCCACTTGTTCAGGTAATTCGTTGTTTTAAATCACCATAATGGTTGGTTTTGATAAGATTGTAGGGCTTGTTTACTTTCTAACTGAGTAGCACCGACACCTCGAATTGACACTAACACTTATTGATACACTTGATTATATTCAATCACTTCAATTTTTCCAAAATGTTTCTACCGGTGTTTACGTGTCAGTGTGGTGTTGTTGTATGTATCTTTTGTAGCTTTCTGACAACATTTTCTTTTAATTTGGATGGATACAATGACAATATTAGAGAGGGTGTTGGACTAACACCTATAGTAGAATAGAAAAGATGATGGAAAAAAGACTTAAAAGTGGTTTTTGGGCAAGGGAGAGAACTGAGAAGACAAAGACACATAGATTATGTGGTAAGGAGAGGAGATTAGATGAGGAGACTAGACAACATAAGATTAGAAATAACAATATTAGAGAGTGTTTAAAGTAGAAAAGATGGTGGAAAATAGACTTTGGTGATTTGGATCTGTAGAGAGAAGACCTGGAGATTATGTGGTAAGGAGAATATATCATATGGAGAGAAGTTAAACAATTAGAGGTAGAGGAAGACATAGAAAAAATTTAAGTGAAGTTATCATGAAAAATCTGAGATTAATGATTTTGATAGAAGTATGGTTCTGGATAGAATATTATGATGAAAGTTGATCCATGTAGCCGATCTCACTAAGGGGGATAAGGCTTGATTGTTGTTGTTTGTTGGGTGGATACAATGACATTTGATCATGGATTTTTCTGTTTTTAATTGCGATGAAGGTAACTCAAGAATGTATTTTTGGAAAAATTGAAAATGTTCTAAATTTTTTTTCAGATTTCTTAAAAGTACTTTTTAAATGCATATTTACATATATCAGTATATATGTGTCACATAAAGAGAGCAATTTTGTTTCTTTAGTTAGTCCGACATATTGAAAGTGTATTGTAACTCGAAGTCAACTGTGTCTTTAGTTGGGAAGAAGTATCACAGATGTATCTGAGACAAATGTATTTAAGAGTAGTATTGGTGAAAATATTTCCGAAAAGAATAAAAAATTATTGGATACTTTATGAGTACATATCGCGAAGCATCGGACGCGTGTCGGTATTGGATGTGTGTCGGACTCCGATACTTCTCCATTTTTGAAGTATTCTGGCTACATAGGTTGTTGTTGGTTTCAAGGCACAAACTTGCATTTTTGAATTTTTTGCATTTTAGTGGAATTAATCAAATTTGGGTTGGTTTTGATAGATGGACTGGAGAAAATGGAACAAACTGTTTGCTTCAAAAAATCTAATGATGTTTGAGCTTTTGATTTTGTTTTGACGGGGTGTCTGTTTCAAGGAAGAAACTTGCATTTTCTGCTTATGTCTTAGAATTTGGGTTGGGTTTAACTCAACTCTACAAAACTGACTTGTTTTTATTATTATTGAGGCCGCATCACTATCCAAGTAACGGGGATTCTCAATACCGTGTTTTCTTACAAAACATACTTGGTTCCACACATTTTGTAGATTCAAAACATACCACCTTTTTAAAGCTTTTATGTATGCACTGATTTACATTTAAAACAAATCTTTCATAAATTTCAAACTTTTATTTTTCAAGTAGTTGTTTAGGTATGTATTGGGAACTGTTGAGATACTGTTGATTTGTTGCTGTAGTTGCTAAGACGAGATGAGCAGTTGAATGGACTAGTTTTGAAGCCCAAGCGTCCCCGAGCTGTTGTGCTATGCCCTACAAGGGAGTTGTCTGAGCAGGTATTTGTCTTTTCATTTTTCTCACGGTTTAGATATCTCTTTTGCCGTGTTGAATTGCACAAATTGATATAAAACGAGCTTTATAGGTTTTTCGAGTTGCAAAATCAATAAGCCATCATGCACGATTCAGGTGCACCATGGTAAGTGGTGGTGGCCGTCTTAGGCCTCAGGAGGATTCACTTAGTAACCCCATTGATATGGTAGTTGGTACCCCTGGCAGGATTCTTCAACATATTGAGGAGGGAAATATGGTATACGGTGACATCCAATACTTGGTGAGTGCCCTTATATTGACAATATTGAATATACGACAATGAGCTGCAAACTGCACTTACTAAGAGTAGTCTTTGTTCTGCAGGTATTAGACGAGGCAGACACGATGTTTGATCAGGGATTTGGTCCTGATATTCGCAAGTTCATAGCCCCATTAAAACAGCGTGCTTCTAAACCTGATAGCCTAGGTTTCCAGACTGTTTTGGTTACTGCAACCATGACAAAGGTATGCTACTAAAAGCTTGTAGGCCACACATGCAAAGTAAATATTACTAGTTTAGAAGATTATTCGTAAAATGATCATAGTTGTTTATTTTAATCTGATATTGATAATAAAATGTTTGCATTTCTACCCTTTATCCCCTGTTATGTATAACTCTTCACATGCTTGTTTGCAAATGATTTGCAAAACACAAGCTCATCAATATTTTCTCGTGGTTTTTTCAGTTGGCTGTGAAAAATTTACCTATAAGTGTGCAGTGTTGTTAAATATCCGGTATACCGGTATTGCGTATCGGAATTTTGGCTATCCGATACGAAAGCCGATATAACATTTCAATTTCGCGATTCTCGCGATATCGGCGATTTTCCGGTATACCGGTTATGAATGAAATATCGGAAGTCATATTTTTATTATTTTTTTTATAATAAATCATTTTAAAAAACATTAAAGTGGGGGTGGAAAAGTAGAAACATTAAAGAGGGTAAGGTGAAGAGGTGGAAAAGTAGAATCTAAAGAGGTGGAAACATTGAAATAGGAATATGTGGGCTACTGAGTCGGTGCATAGTATTATATATACTTGTTCATTCTTCCTCTTCTTTCATACTGAGTCGACCTACCTGCTCAAGATATACTAGGCAAACAATTAAAAAGAGAAAAAAAACTCCCAACCCTAATGTTGTTGGCACTTCCTCTAAAACAAAGAAGTCGGCTGGTTCTTCATCTAGGAAGGGAAAGCAACAAGTGATTGAAGTGGAATATCCTGTCATCGAAGAATCAGAAGCAGATGATTCAATTGAAGAAGCTGAAGGATATGCCTCACTATCTGAAAAGGAGAATAATGATTATGTTGGGGAGGGGGAAAAAGGAGAATAGTTAAATCTTTTATCATTAGTTATAACTCAGAAGAAATACTAGTTATTAGTTTATTTGAGTTTTAATTCCTTTTAAATTTCTGTTTGTAGCTTTTCTGTCTTAGTTATTGAATTTGAAATTTTCAATTTAATTTTTTAACTTTGAGTTTTTATTTCTGTTTTAACCGCTTTGTGGCTTCCGATATTTGTCCGTTACGCAATCCGATATTTCTCGTATCGGTTTTTTGGTGATCCGATATTTTCCGATATCGATATCTATGAGTTCAGAAACAAAAAGTTTTCATGTGAGCATTCCTTTCAAAGGTTGACACCTATCTTTTCAGTATTGTTCCAAAGTTAAGAACATGTCATCCCTCATAGATATTAATCCCACATATATTCATCTTCCATTATCTTGTGTACTGTTCAAAAACTATCATATCTTTTCACGTATTGTTTTGAAGTTAAGAACACGCCATGCCTCGTAGATATTAATCCCACATATATTCATCTTCCATTATCTTGCGTACTGTTCAGAACTATCATATTGAAACAATCAATACTGTTCTTTTTATATGAGCGTGGGTCTTTCATGATGTTATTATAGTTGTCATTACTTTTCCAATCATGTATAATGAGAAAGGGCCAGTGACATTTGAAAAATTATTATTTTAACACTAAAATTTATTGGTTTGTATTTTGACATTAACACTCGAATTCTCTTCTTTCTTCCTGTACTTGTTAAATATTGAACGCGTTTTGCAGGTATTCTTCTGTGTCTTTATTAATTCCTTACTAGCTTGGCTTGAATTCAACCATTTTACATGTATAAATTTTTTAGCTCTGTTAATGCATAGATGTGGTGAAACAGTCAGTATCCATAAACTTTGTGAATTCTTCATGTGGTCTAGTTTTAAATATTGTAAACATCTCAGTTATTTCTACACCGCTAAAATTCTTGAAAATAGTTGATAGAGTATCCTACAAAGTTAATTGGCCTATAGCTATTTAATAATACCTTGTACTTAATAGTGTATTGTGGAACAATAGCAGTTTGTTCCAATTCCGCTATGCTATAGTGCTATACCTTCTACTTGACAACAATGAGTGCTCTTTGTTCTTATGAACACTAGATAATCTATATTATATATAAATCTAATGAACAATTTTCATGTTAATATTTGAGAGTGAAGTTGCAAAGTGTTGACTTCTTTTAACCTTGCAGGCTGTGCAAAATCTGGTTGATGAGGAGTTTCAAGGCATTGTCCATCTGCGCACTTCCACGTTGCATAAAAAGATTTCTTCTGCTCGTCATGATTTTCTTAAACTTTCTGGTTCTGAGAACAAGCTGGATGCATTACTTCAGGTATATGCAGTTTATAATCTGCAGCATTACACATGTCAGCCAATGATTATTATTTGACATGTGTTGAGATTTGGAGTAGCTCAAGTTACACCTAACTTATCCGGGGATTGTTTGATTCTGGGTCTGAACTTTGAATCCTGTTGTTCAAGCTGCTTTGCTTTTAAAACAACTCGTGGAAGAAGTCTATGCTGTGTTAGGAATAAAACTGCTACTTTTGTGTTTCAAGCTGCTCAGCTGATAGTTTTTTTTTTCCTGATAAAATTAAAAGCTGATAGTATACAACACTTGCTTTTTTTGCTATTATGAATTTCTATCAGACATAATAACTGTTGCTTACATCCACTTAAAAAGAGGGAATATGTGAAACTGCCTTCACTAATTGCACCACACAAAGTTATCTTAAATTCTTAATACTACAGTATTAATTATATTCCTAATTACAAGAATAATAAGCTCGTCAGAATGTTCTACAACCCGTACTAAAACCAATGGGAAAAATGCACCTGCTGGTGCATGCTGCAAGGCTATTCAGATGGTGTAATGGGAGCCTAAATCTGTAAGGCTTGCTGATCCCACCAAAGTTTTCCTTTGGCATGGGTCTCCAAACTATGACAGTGGGATAATTGATAAGTTCTACATCCTCTAAACACATTTATAAGCAACAAAATACCTCAATTCTTGGTCACTATTATAAGCAAAAGTCAATTATTGTTAAATCATTTAATGTTGTAATTCCTAATATACCCCTCTATTTCATTTTCCAACATTCCATTAAATTTAATAAAGAGGATATTATAGTAAACTTAATTAATGTTTTCACCAAAATCTAAAAAGTTAACTACACTTGATTGAATTTCTTAATAACCGTAAAAAAACATTTTTGTTGCTTATAAATGTTGTCCGGAGGGTGTATCTCCATCTTGAGATATTTCCTTATTCTTTTTTTATTAAACCTCTTTGAAATTTTCAACTACATTAATTATTTCCTTACCTGACAAAGTTCTAAAACAGTATCAGTTACCAACAAATTTAATACTACCACCAACTTTCTCTATTCTTGTGATTTAGTCAACGCGTCCTTATATTCAAGGAAGGAGGCAATAAAATGAAAATCGTCCCGTTTTCTTCATACTGAGAACACACACTTTATTGCAGTTTTTCTATTATTCTGCTTGTATTCAAGTACTTGGCATTTTCATGCTTTATAGTGAAATCTGGGGTGCATTTTTTCTTATGGTAGTCCATGTATGCTACATATTCACTATAGGACTAGTAGCTGGATTGGATATTGTTTTGATTTTGATTCACATGGTTTTTATTATGCAATTTGTGATCATGTGATTGCAGGTATTAGAGCCAAGTCTTGCCAAGGGTAACAGGGTAATGGTTTTCTGCAACACATTGAATTCTAGCCGTGCTGTGGATCACTTTCTTGGTGAAAATCTGATTTTTACTGTGAATTACCACGGGGAGGTACCGGCAGAGCAAAGGTCATATACTAATTTAAGATTCTTTGTATACTTCTCACACCTAATACTGTCGTGTATTTGCGATGCAGTTGTAGTTATTGTCCGTATGCTTAGATGATTTGCTAAGCCTCTAGGAAACAACACTGTCAACTGTTAAATTTTAGATGGAAAATAAATAATTGAGATTTATTTTCCTTTATTCCCACTCACCTGTATCACTTTTCTTTTATATGCAGAGTTGAAAACCTCAACAAGTTTAAGAGTAACACTGGAGATTGCCCTACATTGGTTTGCACAGACTTGGCTGCTAGGGGTCTGGACTTAGATGTCGATCATGTTATCATGTTTGATTTCCCTCTGAATTCTGTGAGTATCATATTTATCATTAAAATATTTATTAGGTCACAAATCCCTTCTTTCTACCTTTAAAAAATTTTTTATTTGGTTACTTACTATACTTTCCCTTTCAATGATAGATCGACTACCTCCATCGCACAGGTAGAACTGCTCGTATGGGTGCTAAAGGTAACAATTTATGTGTCTATCTGTTTAACCAATTTGAGAATATTGTCCTCTCCAGTGTAGTCAAGATCGAGTACTGGATGTCTGAGAGTGCTACGATCATAGAGAGATCGTTTTCTTTGCCAGTGTGGTCATATCAAGCTTTTTGAAGAAAGATCGTAAAATAAAACATGCTGGGTCTTTTTTTTTTTTGGGCTTGTATTAGAAAGTATAAAACACACTTTTTTCTCTTGCAGGGAAAGTAACAAGTTTGGTTACTAAAAAGGACTTCGGCTTGGCAACCAAAATAGAGGAGGCGATAAGAAAGAATGAAAGTTTGGAGGCTATCACTAAAGAAAGTCTCCGAATGGACGTAACCAGGAACCAAATCACTGAGCAAAGAAGAAAGAACAAAAATGTGGTCAAAACTTCAAAAGCTAGAGACAAATCTGATTCTCGCCCAACTTCTACCACTAACAGGTTAGGTATTAGGGACAAATCAGATTCGCGCTCCAGTTCTGCAAATACCAGGTCAGGTATTAGGGACAAATTCGATTCGCGCACCAGCTCTACAAACGCTAGGTCAGGTATTAGGGGGAAATCTGATTCTCGCACCAGTTCTGAGAATACCAGGTCACGTATTAGGGACAAATCTGATTCGCGCACCAGCTCTACAAACGCTAGGTCAGGTATTAGGGGCAAATCTGATTCTCGCACCAGTTCTGAGAATACCAGGTCACGTATTAGGGACAAATCTGATTCGCGCACCGGTTCTGGGAATACCAGGTCAGACATGAAATTTGGTAAACAATCATCGCCGTCAAAGTCTTCAAAGAAAGGATTTCCCGTTTCAAAATCTGTAAAATCGTCCAGTCCAAATAGCTTCATAAAAGCTTCTTCGGAGAGTAAGCGAACGGGTAAAAGGGCCACTGTCACCAAATCTACAAATCCTAAACTCAGTGTTGTCGGGTTTAGGGGGCGGCGTTCATCATCATCAGATAAGAGACAAACATTTTAGTGAAGTGGATTGGAGTCATATTATACCAGAGTACAAAGTAAATCACTCTTGGTTTTGTATTAGCTTCATATTTATTTTTTTGACTAATAGTTTCAATATTTTCTACAACAAGAATGGTGTTAATTTGTATGCTTTTGCCCAACATTATACATGAATAGTTCAAGTTAGTTTATTTGATAAAATAAATTTTACAAAAGATAAAATAAATTAGAACTGCTACCTAGAAAACAATAAACATGTCATAATATTATAAGTTGTTTTCATAAACTCTTAAATAGTCTCAAGTCTACATAGTCTCACATTCTGTTTATATTACTAAGTAGACTCAAATAAGACAATTTAAACATATCTTATATATGGATACAACTCAAAAGGAAAGAAGACAAATAAAGCCACCTAGCAGAAGAACCAGACTAGAGCTCACTCAGGAAAATGAACTACCATCAACATAACTGAAGCCTTCACACGCAGCTTAGGACCACACTGAAAAAAAAAACAGAAGAACCCGTCGTGGTTCTTCACATTGTTATTTCCATGTTAGTAATGGAAGAGAAGTTTTAGCAGGTGTTACTACATTGCCATTGGAATCATAGATGATGACACCAGAGAAATCAGGGAGCTGGCACTTCCCTCCCATAAGTATATTCTTTTGCCAAATTGAAGCATCTTCTTGATCTTCTTGTTCACAGCCACTCATAATTACCACTTCATTATTTAGCCCTATAACAGGCTCTTCTGCAAAGGCATTGCATGCAAGCCAATGGCGCCATTTGCGCGAATGCGAAGCACACATGAGCAACGCAACGGCAAACATCACAAGGGTCATAACAGTAAATCCAGTATTTGAAGTGCTTAGTGAAGGGTGGATTACTAAAAGTGGTCTAGCCATATGATATGTGAGAGTACACTTGAAAATAAGATATGATACAAAACATGAAATGGGTTTGACTATTTATAGTTACATGGTTTGTAGTTGTTAACTAGAAAGTGTAGTTGGTGTTTTAGGATTTGTTGGCATTTGGTTAGTTTTTTGGTTTAAGACTCAACATGTGGTTTTGGTAATTCCCTTGACCTTGTGCAAGGTTTAGCATAGTGGGATTAGGTTAGATATTAAGCATTCTTATCCCTGTTGTGCATAATAGTAATATAGACAAGTTTTCTAAAGGTGAATTTTGAAATTTGATTGTCATAGGGTTGCATAAAGTAATATTGTCATACCTAAGATTGAATTGGCAAGACTTATTTTTTTAATCTTTGAGGTCATAATTGAATATACTAAAATAATTTAATCAGTTTGAATTTGATAGACTATTTTAGTATATAATTTTATTGTTCTCAAATTTGCACTTCTAAATCTCATAATATCTCTGCACAATAATCAATTGAATTGATTTAATGAAATAATATCAATTTTAAATTCACCTATGTGTATACTATAAACTATATCATCCATCCCTTATTATAAAATTTATAAATTTTATAACTATTATAAAAGTTGATTATAACAATAAATTTATAAAAATTATGTGTTACTTTTATATAATTATGTAAAGAAATTTCTTAAGTCATTTTTATAAGGGTGAAGTAAACTTTTGAAAATTCTAAAATGTCTTTTAGATATGTATATTCGAACGCATTCAATATTTTAGAGGAATTTCAAATATGAAATAATCTAATATTTTGTCTTTAGGAAATTTTCAAATATGAATATCTAAAATAATGTAATTTTTTATCATCACAAATTTCAATTAATGTTATTATTATTAAAAAAAAAAAGAAGAAATAAAGCACAAATGAACACGTGATTTTCCAAATTCCCCCTTCTATCTTTCTCTCACTAATGAATAACCTTTAAAAACCAATTCCAATTTGAAAAAAAAAACCGAATAAATGAAAATAAAAAAAAAAACCCTTTTGTACTAATTACTTCAAAACATGTGAAAAAAAAAAGGAAAAAAAATAAAAGCTTCTCTCACCATTATTAATATCTTTTAATTAATGTTATTATTTTAATAATAAAAAAGATTGCAATTAAAAAGCCAAATCAAAGCCTCTCTCATAGTCCAAACCATACACTTTCCTCTCTTATTTCATATCTCTATGCTTTTGTCACGATAAATTAAATTATTTTGGATATTTGAAAATCTTTTAAAAATAAAATATTGGATTAATTTAGATAGATATATCCGAAAACCTTATAAAAATAAAATATTGATTCGTTCAAATATATATATATATTTAAATTCTAGATACTATTTTTGATTTTTCGCCAATGAATGACTTAGAAATTTTTATTATATAATTAATAATATAGGTGAGACATCTATTTTTCTATACTCAAAAGCCCCCACCAATGATAGCCCTTTAAACTTTTGCAAAACAAATGAAGAAATGAAAAAAACTGGTTAATTGTTTAAAAATTCTCAAAAAATGTCAATATTATTGTCATTTTGTTTTTAAAAACAAACCATCATCTATCAAGAGCAGCAACAAATCTGTTGAGAAGTGACAGAAAAATATCATAAGTGCTATTGCAGCCTTGTTGATAATTTTTAGAAATAAGAATCTTCTAATATTTTAAACTTGAATTTTTGTCTAAATGGGATATAATGTAATACAATTTTGAATAGAAAATAAATTTATTTTTATTAACTCATGATATTAGGTTAATGTCTCTTCAACTTTTTAATTTTTAATTTTGTTTTTTGCAATTATGTTTAAAATATTATAGATAATTTCTACATAAAATTCAAAATATTTTCTCATTGGATATATTAAATATGAAGTTTTTATATATAAAAAACTTAAGATAAAAGAAATAAAAATTTTATTTATTTATTTTTTAAATTTTTTATTTTAAACTCATTTTTATAGAATAATTTTTTTATAGTGTTCTAATTATACCAAAAAGAATTCAAAAAGTTAAGCTAGTTTAAAATTAAAACTCTTTGCAAATTTTTTAAAAAACATAACTTTAAAGAGAGATTAAAAACAAAATTTTAATTATTTTAAAATTTAAGTATATTTGTTTTGAATTGACCAAAAAAGATGTTTATTTTGAATGTTAATGTGATATTTTTTGTCTAGTAGTTCTTTTTTGACATAGTCTAGTAGTTTAGTGATAGGAATTTTATCTCAAAATGAATAAATAAAATGTTGCGAATTCAAACTCGCACTTATGCAGTTAAATATTTTTGCATAACTATCAATTCAACTGATTTAACAAAAATAAAATGTAATTAATTGTAAATATATTCATATAGAATATCAAATTTAAATTTAATTGACCATATTTTATTTAAAGAAAATATTTATTAATAAGAAAGTATGAAAGTGATAAAGTTAATAATTAAATCTCAACAATTTATTATTATCACCATTCTATGATTTCTATTAAAAAAAAATTAAATTTAAAATTACTCTAAAACAATAACGAATATACATTCTTGTAATTTTTATTCAAATGATTCTTACTATATATTATTTTTTTTTAAATATTTATTTGAGCAATAGGTAAATAAAAGTGTTGTTTTATTGCTTTTATATTGTTGACTTTGTTTGTATGGTGAGTTTGTAGGAAAAGAGAGAAATCTTAGCCGGTCACGGTGGTGTTTAAGGCAGAACGGGGTCTTCATTCTTTGACGAGATTACGCATGACAACGGGACGGATCGGAGATGATTTTTACCCCTTAAGTCCAAATTTGAATTCCCAAACAATTCTAATTACCCGCCCCAAACTCAAACGGAGATGAAGAATTAAAACTCAAACCCGTTCTAAACAGGTTCGGGTTGAATTCGGGTATCCCCGTCCCGCCACCATCTATTTAGTAAAATCTTATTTTTAATAGAAATATTTATTTTTTTCTTAAATCAAATTACATTATAAATAATACAATATAACAATCTCAAAAAATTGCATACATACATTTCAAATAATATATACAAATCAAATTATCAAAACATTGACCACATATTTAATATTCTAAATTGTAATAAATAAATAATAATAATGTATATAATAAAATAAACGGGGAGGATTCAGGGGCGGGTTCGGGGTGGGTACTAGCGTCTCCATTACCTGACTCGTTCCCATATTTTATAATCGAAGAAAATTCAAACCCGAACCCAGTCAAAGCGGGTTTTTCCGTCAACTTCAGGGCGGGTTCAAGTGGATATCCACTGGTACGGGTTTTGTTTTCCATGCTTAGATGAGATATCTTGGGAAAGGACCAGTGTTCTTAGGAGTGGACAAATTTAAATCATCCAATCGAAATCGACTGACTCATTGTTTTTTTTGTGCAAACGGGTCGAATCAGGTCGGATGTCAGATTGATTTGGTTATATAATTTGGATAATGTATGATTGTTTCGGTCGGGTTCAAATGGTTATTTTAGATCTTTCAAAAATTGACCGAACCTAATTAATATTTAATTAATTTATTATTATTATTATTTGATTAACTCAGTATAAAAACGGTGTTCATAATATTGTTAGATTATTATCATTTTTATAATCTAATTGTTACATTGTATTCTCATAAGATTACATAAATAATATGAAAATTTAAGTATTATTTAATTTGTGGTTTAAAATATGATAATGGCTAAATTAATGTTAAATGATATTTGAAATATTATTGCATAATAGTAACTTTTTTCAATAATAAAAAATAGTTTTTCTTTAGGTTATTCTAAAATTTTGATAGGTTTTTTTTTTTAAAATTAAAAAATAAATGTTTGTGAATTTTATAAAACATGAGTATTTTTATAGATTTACACAATAAATATTAAATCGATTAAATTCATCTAATTCACCCACTAAATTGATTTAACCGAATCTGTAAAAAATAGAAACTCAATCGGTCGAAATTGAACATTAAAAATGATATTGTAATTTACATCAAATTTAAATTTGGGTCCGAAATCAATCTGAATCGACCGATTGGTCAACCCTAAATATCCTTAACTGAATGGACTATGGTACATTTGCTAGGGAAGGTT